TGAAATGACACGAAGTGAATGGGTTATGTTTAGGGATGAAGGATGATAAAATGCCTCGCCACTTTGTTTCCACATTGGCGACACGGACTCGCTGTTCGTGGTGCAAAGAATCGTAACCCACCCTGAGGCTCTTCTGCATGCGTGGGGCAGAGGTACGTGCAAGGCAGCATGTCTTTACATCGTTTAGAGACAACCCAGGGCCGAAGTTTATTTCATTGCCACGTTTAAATCACACAATATTCTCTGCGCGTCCATCAAATCAAGGTGTTAAGGAAAGAGAGGCAGCAAAGGACAAATGAATTAATTGTTTCAAAGAAGGCTAAAAGCACAACAATTTGTCACGCATTTAAACCTGTTGAGGCATTGAGTGAATCCCAAATGGAATGGGGGGCATATAATGTGTCCTGTTTTAAGATGAGGTCATAATATTTCAATAGCAGTGAGTCATAAAATCCTTTACAACTAAAAATGCAATTAGTTCTCATTCTAAATACGTGCCACATGTTCCCCTTCCACTGTGAGATTTGTTTCAGCTGCACAACTTCCAATCTCCTTTCCTTAATATGGGACTCACCACTCATTTCAGTGCATGGAAACATCCACACTCCAGTGACTGCTTGCAAACGCATTTTTGGAGAACCTGTTGCAGAATTAGACGATGTTCCTTTCATCCTAGATGGTTCGCAGCTCCTAATTCCCATTAGTTCTACCAGATATTCTCGGGGCTTGATGATGGCATCTCTTCATTCAGTATTCACACCGCTGCTTCACACTCTGCAAACCTCATTCCCTACCTAACTGACTCAAAGAGCCTGCTCCATCACCCCACCTTCATGGCTGTAATGTGCAAGGCTGATTAATTATGCAGGAGGGTGTAAGATGCTCGCCATTTAGGGAGTGTTGGCACCCCCACCGTCAAATTTGTCAATTGCTTTCTTCCAATTAGCCACTGCAGCTTTCGTTTTGAGAAGGATGTGGTTTTGACTGAATCGCCCATTATTGCTGCATTACAACGTTAATGGAAATCTGCCTGATTTGTTTGACATTAACAATTATGCTTCTTTTTGAGAGCGTTAGTCAGAAGAAAGCACATCAGCATAGTTGAGTGAATGTAGTGGGGGGGACTAACTTGTGGAGGCATTCACGCAGAGCAGTAACATTTCTCCACCCCAATGCCGATTGCTAATCTGCACTTTGGCGTCTCTGTGGACGTTGTGGTGGCTCCATCCAGCCAAACCACAAGTAAATCATTCACCACGAAGAAGGCATGTGATAAAAAACAAGCACAAAATAACCATAGAAAGAGTTTTGCTGTTGCTCCAGCTGACGGATTTGGAGAAATCGAGAAAGTTGCCCAGAGCCTTCAACGGCAGACCACAATTGTTGTTGTCCCTCCCATGCCTAAGCAATATTATTTCTAGAGGAAGTAATGCTAGAGCTGTATATTTTGGTGACTGTGCTGTTCAAGCATGCTAATATTGCAGAATGTCAAATAAGATGCACAGTGGAAATTCTTCTCGAACATGTTGGCTATTCGTATGCTGCACTTGAGTCATGCGAGACCTGAATGTGGCCATGTTGGATCATCCACAGTATCTCTTTACCAAGAGTAATTACTTTCGCGATGCATTAGCCCACTTCAAAATTCTGTCCTCTGTTTTGATTGTGGGCAAGTATTCTCCACTTCTTCCACCCCAGAGACCTGCATCAATGGGAAACCAACTATCTCTACAACGTGTGGTGAAGATTCATGCGTTGGATGACAAGTGGATGAAATGACTACCACCTTCGTCACTTGTGATGCTGAGGTGGCCGACTGTCACCCACCGTGTCGGTGAAGTTGGACAGGTGTGGCTTTCATGCATCCAGTGTAGGATGTGACAAATGAGAAGAAATTGTGGTGCCAAAGTAGAACTGGCAAAGAGGCAGGAGTGAATTGACAAATGTGAGTAACATAATGTTGACAGTGTGTAAGAACAATTCCTCTGTTTGTCTTGCTGAAAGGCATCG